GGACTGTGCTTTATAGCGGCTTCATCGGAGGATAAGGTTGACAGCGTCTCGATTTGATGAAGTTTGTAGAAGAAGGCAGACAACAAGTTGTAAAGTTCTAAACTACATCATATACCCAATAGAGTTTTCTAGTAAGGCAATAAAAAAAGGCAATACAAAAATCATTGGACACGGCAGTTCAATCTTGTTTTTTGTTTATTGATCGCACACATCCATTTTTGGCAGCATCACCTCCATCTACCTATTGCAGTAGACATGTACTTAATCCAGGTATAAGCCTACCTGTTTATTGCTTTGCAAAAACTACCTAACTGTTTCCTCTTATTTTGACGACATAAGATATTTTTATGACCTCCGTTCAATTGTTACCATCTACCACACGACCCTTGTAAACATAATTGTGTTTATTGACATAGATAAACGAATTAGAATTACAGTTCTTGAATTTATTTTAGGAAAGATATAAAATTATTTGAATACATTTTTTCTTAGTCGGAACGCACCGTCGTGTCGCTTGGACTAGCTGGACGAAACAGTAAATGAATTTCGCCCAAAAACCGATTTGCACTTCACAGCTTAATTTTTATTATTTCTAAATGAAACTCTTGCAGCGTGCTCAAAACACAATCCACAGGGTGCCAGCGATCCACTTTTACGATTTTATCCACTAGGATCTTTTTAAAATATCAAGAAGTTGAGCACAAATAGTGAGCATTTCAACACACCATAATTCTTGCGCAAAGACAAAATTTTGTAAAAAGCTCTGATAGCACCCTAGGCAATTATGGCCTGCTTATATCCAGAAAAACATCACAAACTGCAGAACACAAAAGGTAACGGCGAAATGGGTACCTTTCACGGATTATGAAATTCAAATGAAAATGCAGGTATAAAATCTACCAAATGATCGTTCTCAAAAACATATTTCCTTGACATATCGATTATTTTAAAGTTTCACGCTAAATTCTCCTATACTTGACTGGAGTGATATCCGAATTTATTCTTCCATACTGTCGGTAGTTGCAGATCTGTTGGTGTCAAACCTATAGAGCAGGTACCAATTTTTTGAAATCGTGAGCACATTATTCGTCGAATTTTCGAATTTCCTGTAATCACTGGGATCATAAGCTTCTTAGTAATAGAACGTGTTTAACTGATTCACTTTTTAAGTAGTACAATTTTTTTATGTCAATGATTAGGAACCCCTGAAATGTCAAAAACGGGGTTTCAGCAATTGTTACTTTTTCTTTTTTGCCTATAGCACCGTTGCCACTGGACTAAAACTACAAAGCTTTGGCATACTAGTAACCGCATGTGGAAATTTCAGAAAAATCCGAGCGGTAATTTCCAAGTTGATGATGAGTGATACAGTTTTTCGTGATGTAGATGTTATATGACTTAAAAAAACATAACATCTCATTTTAGAATTTTTTCGCGATTACAATACTTCCTCGCCAATGACGTGGGAAGTAAAACGGCTTTATTCGAGGAGTATCAGCTATCGCGATTATGAGTACCTATTAGCAGAACAACTTATCTAGGCGATATTATATGAAATAGGGCCACCAAATTATCTGAATACGTCCTTTCTTAGTCCGTACATTGCGCCGCAACGTTTGGTTTGGCAGCACGAAACAGTAGACAAAATTCGTCCAAAATACGATTTGTAGAGGTTTGCGCGCTTCGAAATTGATATATTTTTTGATATTTTTGGATGAAATTTTCACAGAGTGCTGAAAACATAACTCCACAGGGTGCTATAGAGCCACTTTTTCATTTTTTTCACTAGGTTCTTTTTAAAAAAATCGCGAAGTTGAACAGAAAAAGTGCGCACTTCAACCCATCATAAAACTTGTGCAAAAACAAAATTTCAAAAAGTGCTCCTATAGCACCCTGGGCAATTATCTTCTCAATATACTGTATGATTTTCATTCAAAAATATTGAAAAATGGAGTGTCAGTTTTGAAGCAGCTGAACCCTTGGAAATGGCTTGAAACTCACTGCGTCGGAGCCAACCATCAGATTCAACATTACTTTGTATCTGGTGATAAATTCAATAAATCCCTCATATTATCACTGCGAAGGTGCGTGATCGGTAAACACTGCGTAGGTGCGAAATAACAATGAAGTTGAAGTATCTCACAGAGTGAATATACGCCGGAGAAAATACGGCAGAGACCTCAGACAATAAGAAGATAGGCTGTACGACGTTCCCAGATGCATGATATATAGTCGACCGGGTAAACGTTTTCACCCAGCATCATTAATCTTTGTTAAGCTTTTAATCTAAGCAAACCGTCGGTCGTCGTTGCTTCTGCTCGAACCCGGGATGAAACACTGTCAAAAAATACTGGGGCGGATATCCTTTGTTATACGTGATACGTGGGACTAGATATGCCGATTTTTAAGCATATATTTAAAAAAAAAAGAACTCGGCTACAAGAATAGTTCTCTAATCCCTAATGCAGGGTTTCCCAACCTTGTTTTTGTTGAGGCTCCCCGGACTATACATTATATTTTCATGCCCGTCTTTACTTTTTCAATAAATACAAAAAAAAAACGCACATTATATAGGTACAAAGACTTTTATTTTATACTAAGTGACATATAAATCCGAACACCCAGTTTAAATGGTTTTATTTTAATAAAAGTTGGTGAATGTATTTATCTTACTGTAAATAACAAGTGAAAAAATTTTCAGCCTTATCAGTTGGACTTTCCGGTTTTTATACTGCTTTTTTTTAATTCACTAACGCTCTAAAAATGAATATTTCAGCCGCAGTAAAGAATCAACGTTGGCGGATTTTGGTTCTTGACATCCTTTACGATCGGTTACGATGCCTAGAGTACGGAGACCTGTACGATTTCGTCAACTTAGTGAGTTTGATAGGGGCCGTATAGTGGGACTTCGGGAAGCTGGACTTTCTTTTCGGGCAATTGCAGTTAGAGTGCAAAGAAGTGTAGACACTGTGGTTAGGTGTTGTCAGGCATGGCTTCGAGAAGGCCGTACGCAAAGAGCAAGGGGCACTGGACGCCGCCGTAGAACAACAGACCGTGAAGATCGCCGCCTAAGATTATTGGCCTTAAGGGACCGTTTCTCCACTACCAGGTCCATTGCAAATGAATGGTTTGCAGAACACAAAAGACCTATTGGCATGCGAAGTGTTTACCGACGAATGAGAAGTTTTGGCTTGTTTTCATACCGGCCACACTGGGTCCTCCCTTTAACTTGAGAACACCGACGTAATCGCCTTGAGTGGTGCAGACAACGGTCACTCTGGGATCAGGAATGGAACAGTATTGTCTTTAGTGACGAGTTTCGATTTTGTTTCGGCATGCACGATGGTCGTGCCTGGGTTAGAAGGCGACGTGGTGAAAGGAGGAATCCACAGTTTTTTGTTGAAAGACATGTTCATCACACTGTTGGAGTTATGGTTTGGGGTGCTATAGCTTATGGTTCCAGGTCACCTTTAATCTTCATCAGAGGTAACATGAACGCGCAGCGTTATATCCACGAAGTTCTAGAACCCCATCTTTTACCCTATCTTGACACCCTGGCAGATCCAACTTTCCAACAAGATAATGCCCGACCACATGTTGCAAGGGTCACAATAGACTTCTTTCAACATAATGATGTCACATTGTTACCATGGCCACCAAGATCTCCCAACTTATCCCCAATTGAGCACGTGTGGGATATGATGGGTAGGAGATTGCTCAATTTGCAACGTCCTCCTCAGTCTCTAGGAGCACTTCGAGAGAAATTGGTGGTTGCGTGGAATGAGATACCACAGGAGGAAATTGACCACCTGATCAGAAGCATGCCTAGGCGCGTTGGAGAATGCGCAGCACATCAGGGTGCATCCACACATTATGAAAGGTCAAAGAGTTTTAAAGCAGTGCAATCATTTTGAAATTTTTATGATTTACTTATTATGCTTCATTAAGTATTTATACAAAATTTTATTAAAATAAAACCATTTAAACTGGGTGTTCGGATTCTAGGTTCTGTTTTTGCCAGAGCTATCATCAGGTCGCTATCGACATCAAGACGATTGCGCTGTTTAGTTTTAATACAAACTAGAGCAGAAAAACCTGTCTCACATAAGTAAGTTGAAGAAAAAGGAACTAGTATTCGTAAAGCAAGAGAGGCAAGTGTCGAATTAACAGGAAATCTTTAGATCCAAAATTTCTCCAATGCTAAAAATTGGAAGTCGTCTTTCATGGACGAATCAGCCTTCATTTCTAGAAATTCTTCCTGAACTTCTTCTGGTAATTGTGACACATCGGCAACAAATGGATTTCTTGTCATTGCCATATTGGTGTCTCTGAATTGATGTCTCCTCTTCCAGCGCAAATGAGTTTTTATAGAGATATAACATTTTCAGAAGACACTTTTTGATTCCTCAGCAGAAGCTTTGATGTGATCCCCTGAAATCATAATTGCTTATTATAGTGTTGTTTCTGAACTGAAGTTTCAAGTTCAGCTCATTCAAGGAGTCAAATATGTCAGTTAAATAAGCCAACCTCCATTTAAATGTATCACATTTGAACATTGTTAAGAAATCGTGTTTTTCTTTGAACTCAAGTAAAAGAGTTACCTCTTCTTTCAATTCATAAAGGCGAGCTAACATATTGCCTTTGGACAGCCAGCGTACTTCTGTATGGAAGAGAAGAACTTTGTGATCAGAATCGAGATCCTCGCAACGTAAAGTAAATAACCGACTGTTCAAAGCGTTGCTCGTGATGTAGTATACAATCCTTATAGCCGAGTCCAAAGTCTGGCGTAAATTCTGTGGCAATGTTTTGGAAGCCAAAGCTTGCCGATTAATAACACCATATGTACTAACCATTGCGGGATTTTTTCCTCCGATCGTACAGCTATCATTGCAGGTGCGCCATCTGAGCAAAGTCCAATGAGCTTCTTCCAATCCAAGTCATTTTTTTTTCAACAAAATTTGATATTGAATTAAATATATCTTCAGATGTAGTACCGGCTGTCAAAGATTGAGAGTACAAAATCTCTTCTTGAATGATATCTCCGCAGATTCATCGCAACTAACGGCAACAAGTGGCGATAATTTTACTTTGTTAATTATTTCTGACTTTGTGTCTGCTGCAATGTCATCGATTCTACGCTTTCCTGTGCTATTCGAAAGAGAAATAGATTTAATTTTTTGCTCTGCATCTCCTCCTAAAATTATCTGCGTGGCTTTTAGGACACATCGTTTTATTAATTCTTCACCGACAGTAGGAGGTTTCTTTTGCTTTGCTATCATAAAAGCTATTTCAAATGAAGCTTTGAGATGCTGCGATACACCTGTGTGATAACTTCCCGTTTTAGCCAGTCTCATCCGCTTGAGTGATTCTGCTTTAGAGGAAAAAAATTATTTCATCTTCAAAACCAGAGTAGGATGTTGTTGCTTCAAATGCGTTTCAAGGCGATTGGGCCTCATGCTATCATTACTTAAAACTTTCATGCATATCACAGAACGAGGCAATTGTAACTCGTCTTTTTCTATGAAGGTAAATCCAAACTTAACGTAATCTTCGGAAAACTTTCTTTTTTTCGCTGTCATTTTGCACCTATAACAATAAAACAAATAAGTAATAATTAAATAAACAAAATACCTACATGTAATTACTAATTATATGCCCATTATTTTATCTTAATAACGTAATGTATTCAACAGTATATTGGCCACCGGGAGATATATATTTTTATAGCCAGGTTGACATTATAATAGTAATTTTGAATACATTTGGAATCAATATGAGGTGCTTAAAGTTCGTCGTTTCAAAATTATTTCGCCACGTTGCTTTGATTGTGATGTAGTAGAAAAGTCCCAATGGCCGATATATGAACGCGTCTCCACTCAATCAATAATTTAGTAAATTAAATAAAAATGGTAACTGAAGTTTGTAAATACACAAACTTACATTTTAACAGTGAGATACAATAATTTGACAAAAATTGTATAGACAATGGAAGCGCAAAATAAAACTTTTGAAAGGGCCAGATGCGTGTAACATCTGAAACTTACCCCTTGGTCTTCATGCTGAAAGTAGGAGTAGCGGGAGACCAAGTCTGGCAAGTAAGCCACTTTTAACAGGTTTTGCAGACCTCGTTGTACCAACTGTCTACTACTCACATGCAAAAATGCTGGTAACTAATTATTGAAAAATAATAATAGCTAATTTGATTCTGCATCGATCTGGTCGTACCTGTACATACCTATATAGGCTGCCACAAGCTCCATGGCTCGAAATGTAATTATCCGAAGCTGGGATTCGAACGCGCTAGCCTTCGAGACGATGTGCTAGCAGCTCAACGCTCTAATACATTTGGTACTGAAAAATATCTGCCCGTTTCTGTTTTCTACCCGTTAAATGAAACTACATGTGTAGGATTGACTTTCTACTAACGTTTCGGCCAACGCGGTGGCCGTTTATAAGGCACAAATTAAAAATCAAAAAGACAATATAGGTTGAAATTGACATGTTTGCTTTCCGACTCCTGTAACCTTGACCAACCGCAGACAGCTCTGTTTCGTGCTCACTTGCAATTGATCAGTGCGATATAAGTCTTAGGTTTAGTCTTGGAGACAGACGAACCGGTAGGAAAACAAGTGGGTATGGTCGTTTAAAAAACTTAAAACATTGTGTGAAAGTCTGATAATCGTCACACATATCAATAATAAATACGATAGAGAGACTATTACGTTCTCTAGCCCATAACCGCTCGATGTTCTACGCTAAGAGCAGAGATGTAGCAACCCACCGTTACGGTCAAATGTCAAGTGGTCGGAATACTTAGTTTTCACAGAGCAAACCAGCAATGGCTTTTCTATGTATATATTTCGTATCTATACAGGGTGTTTCAAATTCGACCCTCACCATTGGAATGTCGGAAACAGTAAGAGATATGAAGTCGCTTGGATGGGAGCGAAGTTGCGAATTTAGATAATCAACAAAATGCAGCTTAGACAGTTTCGGAATTCAAAGTACAAAGTACACAATTGCACATTACCATTGCCACTTTTTCTCCTCTACTAGATGGCATAATTAGAATTTCATTACGACGTTTCATCTCTCGTCCTCCAACATCAACTTTATTTTTTCATATGGACGCAATATTGGATTTCTGCACAGATGAATAGAATTCCCAATTTTGGATCCATATATATATATATATATATATAATATGTCATACGTTGACGTTGCCAAACCTTAGTTGTTTAAAAAAAAAACAGAATTTCCCAGGTAGGCCTTGAAATTATCAGATAGTCATTTGTATCGCATACCAGGCCAAACTTCAAATTGAACATAGTAACAGAGTTTGGAAGACAGAAGATAAATGAATCGAGCCTACAATACAACGGACAACATTTTGAACATCTGCTATAAATCACCTCTACTTATTAATGATTATTATTGCCACCAATAAAATTTTACGTTTGTGTTCAGGCTTCACCATACCTTTTTATTTCTTTATAATTGTCATCCAACAACAGATTCATGGCGAACTAAGGGAATACTCTCCATATGAAGAAACAAAGTTGGTGACGGAAGTGGAAAGAAGAAGTGTCGAATTGAAAATGCCATCTTGTAGAGGAGAATAAGTAACAATGACAAAATGCCATTTATTTTGAAATCTCATATTAGATAAAGTCAGAGGAAAGAATAAAAGTGATTTTGGGATATATATGGAATGCGTAACAAATGACTGTATGATAATCTCAAGGCCTACATAGGAAATTCTGCTGTTTTTAAAAAACTAAAGTCTAGCAATGTCAATGTATGACGTATTATACATTGTACGAATCAGAATTAAAGACTCTTTTAATCTGTGCAAAAATCAAGTATGACGTCCCTAGCAAAAATAAACTTGATCCTGGAGGAAAAGAGAAGAAATGTCGTATTGAAATTCTAATGATGCCGAAATGTCAATGTTTGTGTGCCTTTTATTTTGAAATCTCACTACAGGTAACGCCAGAAAAGCGATTTAGGCAATTCCGTTTTTTCCGCCTCTCTCCGGATATACTAGGGCATTTTTAAACACTTGGGGGTCTCCATTTGAGTCAGAATAAATTAAAAGAGGATTGGAACCACCTTCTCACGACATTTCCGAATTTTAAAATATCCTCCATATTCAATGCCAACGGATTATCTTAAACACATACAAATGTTTTAAAAAAGATGATCTGGCATGCGGATAGAACAAATAAACCAATCACCAAAATAACATGAAAATCACGAAAAAATTGTTTTTTGTAAGTTTTCGTAAGATGTGAAAATACAGTGCTTCTCAAAAAGTTCCGCCCCTCTTTTTTGAACAAGTTAAGTTAGCATACTGAAATTTGAAGTAATCAAATTGATGCATGGGGCACTATATTTTAGCGCAAAACTGTTGCGTAATACTTCATTTTGAAGCTCCTATTATATCTGTGGAATATAAAATCAATATCCCGTAAAATGGAGTACCGGCAGGCTGTCAAAGTTGAGTGCTTTGTTTAATAGATCGCTTAAAACTTAAATAATCATCAAACCGTTATAATATGTCATGTCAATCTTCTCCTTTTGGAAGGGTGTATCTTTAATTTTTGGAGGTTTTGACAACTTTCTTAAGCAGAATTTTCCCTATTTTATTTCATATTTGGATAGATCCTTTCAGGAGAAGAAGATGGATATAACATGCTATAGCATTTTAATGATTGGTTGTTGAGTTATAGTAATGTACAAAAAACCTTAAATTTGACAACCTGACAATTCACCGTTTGGTGGTGATTTTATATTATAGGGTTTCAAAATGCTCATAGGGAGCTTCAAAATGAGGTATCGCAAGACCCCTCATCCCAATCAAAAACTGTCAGTTTTAGCTAAAATATAACTCCCATGCATCAATTTCGTCACCATGAATTTCAGTTTCCTAACCCGACCCGTTCAAAGAATAATTAGGGGATGGACCTTTTCGGAACGCACTGTATATTTAAACTGAAAAAATATTGTTATACTAAAACCGTATCAGTGCAAACTGTTACGCTTAAGATAGAGTTCCATCATGTATTTTTACCACTTAGCACCCATCTATATCGGATTTCACATTTTTTAGCCGCCTCCGTTTTTTTGCTGTTGAACTTATGAATAGACCTACTATATCAAGCCAGATAAGTCAACGCTTTCTTGAATTTTTCTACTTTACGTTCGTTCTTTGAGCTCAATGTTTTTATATTGTTACGGAAATCATTTTTCAGTTTTCGTGCCAGTCTGTATCGAATACCAGCATACACCAAAGAGGTTAAAATTGCCCCGGCAACCCTGTCATCGTGAGGTTGTTCGAAACGTAGCCTACGGCCTCCCGTCGATCCCGAAATCTCTCGGGATCACCGGTCCGCCACGTAGACACACGATACACAGAATCTCATAACTATCCCGGCAGTATCCCGAGCAGATAGCGTAGTTGGATAGCGCATTAACTGTTGCTCGCTCCTGGCGCGGCATATCTAATACAACACAGCATCGCAACTAACTGAAAATTAATTATATTTTTAGGTGAATTCTTATGACTTTTAGAGATCGGCATATGCTGTGAGGTGCTGCCTGGCTGACGCTGTATAGGGTAGTGGCACAATACTTGAAGACTTAAGCAGGTCTTAGCATCAGTTGTAGAATTAGACAATAAAAATCAGAAAAACAAAGATATTTTTAAATGACTCAGATTAAGCATATTGCGTACTATAATAATCCATCCTTCATGGACTTTTGGGCAGTAATAATATTCTTCTTTTTCCTTGCCGTCGTTTGCTTTCTTGTTGAATTTATTGTCGTGTTTCTGTTTTCTTCCATTCCTAGCGTGCTTATTTCTGGATTCAGTAATTGTTTGCCATCTCCTTCGCTTCCGGAGTTTCCATTTGTCAAATTATCCATTTGAAATTAAAATCACCTGAATAGTCCTCTCAAAATAGCAAAATATAAGGTGTTCAATTACTGCGTCGTAACTTTGCTACTGATTATATCAGTAGTTGAACTGCTGTTTATCTACTGGAAACAAATAAATAAATGGGTTTCTCTGGTTCTAGTATTCACCAGATATAATTAACTATTTGTCGTGTATTTTACTCGCCTTGGCAAATTTCTGATAATCTTAACAAAATGATATGATACATAACTCATGAAGATTTTAACGTTTATCCTTGCTTTGAAACCTAATGTGGATGGTTCCTATTGAGCTATCACTACTTACAAAACTTCAAAGCCACATTGATGAAAACATGTGATAATATCTAGTGGATATTCGACCAAATCTACCCTAGCGCACTGTATTATCCTGTCGGCTTTTCCTGCCTGAAGTGTGAGATTCTACAGAACTGAGGGCTAAAACAAAATAGATATGCTCTGCTTTCCTCCGTCCGACCAAAGACAG